GATTGCATTTGGCATTCATTGATGGCATCATCCAAATCATTGTTATCACAGAACTTAATGAATATATTATACGATATTTTAATAGATTCCTCCAATGAGAGATCATTACTGCAATATTTTTTAAAACATTATAAAATAAAGTCGTTTAGTTGTTACTTGTAATGAATAACAACTTACTATATTTATATAAAGTAAATTTACTTTGTTAACATACAAAAATATACTATGTAAGTGAATACATAAACTGGTAATCTTACCAATTAATATCTGAATTGATCATGATTTATGAGAATGCATTCATTTTAGACATTATTACTGTTATTTGAAATGTAGTGCAATCACATTATTGTTTACAAACATTATTAACACTTCATTGATTAAATACATTGTATAAAAAGTTTCTCAAATAAAATGCTAAATATATTTAATACTTTGTATATTTATATGTTCTTAACCTTCAAATACGTAATAATTTAATGAAAACAAGTTTAGTATTCAAAGCATTTCCTTTTTTACATTTTACATTATAAATGAGACGTTTTTATAATTTTTATTTAATCACATTTTTTTAGATTCTCGACTATTACGCCATTGGAATCAATTGAATTAATTTCTAATTTTTTAGTTTAGAAATTTTTCGAATTAACTGTGTATAAGATCAAGGTCATAAATTATAAAAGGTTTACTTGCTTACAGAATTGTTTGTAAAAAATTACATTGATCATTTTATGTTTAAAATACATTGGAAAGAAATAATACAACAACAATATAACATTATTATAGTTAAATATTTATTATTTTCATAAATGTATATCACAAATATTATATATATTAAATATTAAATATTATACTGTACGTATATTAATGACAAAAAAGTATGAAGTTTGTCACATAAGTTATAACTTACAGTATAATTAATTCTTAAAAATCTTTAAATTATATGACGAATAACTTAAAGTTGAATTCAAATGAATTATATGTTTAGATATAAATATCATAAGACGATAAATCTGTTAATATTGATATGAAATAATTATTATTTTTAATTTAATAAAATGCATTAAATATTATATTTAATTTTTCTAAGTTATAATAATGACACTAAAAAATAACAAAGTTGTTTCATTATTATCATTTTATATTTTAAAAATTGTACTTAAAAATCCAAATTTTTAAATACAAAATTATTAGTGATGTGTTTATTTTTATATTATAAAATAACATTTACACAAGTAAACAATACAAAATAACAAGGCAGAATTAATTAAAAATAGCCAGAATAAAATTTATAAATATTAAAAGCCATCGTAACACAAAGTGGTACCATATTTAACATAAAGCCAAAGAGTCTGTATTTGGGATAACCCAACCAATAGGTGATTCGCCCTAAGATAAACAGTTGGCTCAGCGCTGGTATGTATTTGACGGTCTGTTCGCTATCCAAATACTGGACCAAAATTAATTGTGAAACAAATGATAACAAGAACTGTTCGAACGAATTGTTTAATACATTCTTTGGTTTTTCCAACAGGCGTTCAGCGCCAGCAGTCGGGTCCATAGCAGGGCTTCGCACCCGAACCCATATGACACCAAAAAGACATCTTACGACCCATAATACACCGGTTGTTGAATATTTTAATACATATCCAATGCGGGACTGGATGTCCGGCAAGTCATTGATGCCAACAAAAGCTATTTTGCTAAAATCGATTACATCAGTGAGCACTAGAAATATAACGGCACCGGCAGTCAACTGACCCAATATTAAGGGTGGTGTCGACCCTTTGCTGAATTTGTTCATTTCCTGTTTCTCCTCGTCTGTGAAGCGTTGTTTTGGCGGCGCCTCCTCTGAGTTCTGGTTGACGTCAGTGACGTCAACTCCGGCCATCATTTTTCTCCTCTTTTAATGAATGTTGATTTTAATAATTTACAATTGTAAATGTACAATAACACAATTAGATTGGATAGCAATTTATGTTCATATATTAAATTTTAAACAATGCAAATTTTATCGAAATATTAATTTTTCAGCAAGTTAATTGTACAATTATAAGATATTGTGACTTTTAAGATAACAGATAACTTTTAATATATATTTTATATTATAATATTTTATTTATATAAACACATAATTATATTTTTGAGAATTATTGCAAAGAATATTCTTTATTAACAATTGCTTCGTTGCGATGAAATCGATATTTGCATTACATGTCTAACAACTATTTAATATAATTTATCACAAATTGTTAAAGTAGTTTATTTTGACATTTTATATTTATATCAAATATATATTTTTAGCAAATATTAAATAATATAAATGATGACTATTTTATTTTGCAATAGATTGATAATAAGAAAACTGTATCATTAATGAAAACACAAAGATATCAAATATAAAGTTCTTTGTGTTGTTCAAATACACATTTCATTATTTGACTGCTATATAAATTCACTGGCTATATTATTTAGTAGTTTCATAACAGAATTAGGTTCATGTGTAAATTCATATAATGACAATGTAATTTTGTTACTGTACGCTTAAATCATTTTATAATTTAGCAATAACGGTCGTTTTGTGATATTTGACAACAAGGGTTATATATTTTACTAACGGGTAGGTTTGTAAGTTTACATAATGATTACATTATTACAGAATATTTACTATTATATTAGAGAATATGTCCCATAATCTTGAAATAGCAAAACTATGGAAACACTAATTATAATGATTATTATTTCATAGAATTAGTACATAATTATTGATTTTTTCAAAACTTGAATTTATTCATTACTATTTAATTATGTTATTTTTTAACACAAAAAATACTTTATAGTAGTTAATGCAAAGTACAAACATACATCTGTATTAGCGTTGCCAGAAAATATTTTGGATTTCCTGTATAATTGTGAAAATTTTTCCAAAAATTCCTGTATTTTCCTGTATTTCATTGTTTTACAATCAAAACTTCAAATTCATAAAATGTCCAAAGAATAATAATTTTTCGAAAATTCGAGTGTTTGTAGAATGTCTTTAGAATTGAGTTAATTAAGTTTAATTCATTTAATTTCTAGCATTAGTTCAGATGGTGGATGAACAGTGGGTGTACAGGACTAAAATAATTAACTAGAATATTTTAGTATTTATATTATTTATTGCTAAAATATTTATTCCTGTATTTTTCTATGTACAGGAATGACACCTCCCTGTACTCTGCAATATTCCTTAATTCCTGTATAATACAGGTCATTCCTGTATATCTGGCAACGCTAATTTGTATAGATCTACAATGTAGATCTTATAATATACGACTTATAATATACAGTTTATAAGTAACTTTTAAAATTAAATATACAGTTTATAAAAATACGTGAAAGTATAAGATTAATTTGTAAAATTATTGTATGTTTTATACGCCTGTATTACTTGTAATCCAATTCCTAAATTTACCAACGCGTGTATAAACACCGGGGTAATTAGGACGGGCACATTCGTGACCCCACGACACAACTCCAATTAGTTGTTTATTATAAACAACAGGTCCACCGGAATCACTCTGTTAACAATGTTAACATTAAAATGTGTTATATTGTATATAAATGCAAATATCACAAATTACCCTGCAAGCATCCTTACCACCCTCATCATAACCGGCGCAAAACATGTTATCAGTAACGGGTAACACATCTTTATTTTTATACTTGCAGTCCTGGCGGTCGACAACCGGCACTTCTACGGTCTTCAATGTTGGAGACCACGCGCCGCCCCACTCCTGACGCCCCCAACCCGACACCCGCACCATTGCCCCCACTGAGGGATCCGAGTCCTGTGTCGCTAACTCAATGTTATTGAGCATCAATTGGTTTAATGGGAAAGTGCCAGTTATGCCAATTAACGATATATCGTAATCAAGTGTCGCAGAATCAAATTGTGGATGTGGTATAATCTGTGCGATCAGGAACTCCTGTCCCGGACCCTCATGTAATAGTGTTCCGCAACGCAATGATACCATTGATGGATATACGCTGTTTTATGGCCGTGTCATTATGGTCGTGTCAATGTATAGAAATATAATATAAAGTTTAAGTTGTACAAATTATTGTAAAAATATAAATATAGTATTTTATTATAAGTCAAAATACAGGGAATGAGGTTTCGAAATGAAACAAATTGTAATCAAGATTATCTTCTAATGTCGAATAAATCTGTTTTTAACCCATAGAACTAATGTTAATTTAAATTATGTTTTGTTTTAATTTAAATTATACAAACTAACATTAATAAGAAATAACTCTTAAAAATTAATAGGTATAAATTAAATTACCAATAAACAGAAGAAATTAACAATAAAAATAAGCTTACCATGCATTCTGGTTACTATTAACAAGATCATTATTTTCAATCACATTTATACCATATTTGCCGAATTTAGCAAACATTTTCGGTACCCGATTTCGGGCTTATAATAATTATTTGGATAAAGT